AATCATCATGTTGAATGTCACCAAATCAAAGTGAAACTGAACCTTATAAAATCTTCTTTCTTTTTTTTTAAACATCACAGACAAATATGGTGTTGAAAATCTTTCATCGTTTCATTCCGTCCCTTTTTATTAAAAATCTTTCTCCTCTCATCACCTCTTGCAGCTATAATTATTTCCGTGAGGACGAGGAGATCTATAAGGAGTTCTTTGACATCGCGAACGATGTGATCCCCAACCTGCTGAAGGAGACGGCTGCTGCTGCGGAGAGTTCGGGGGAGGGAGGAGAGGGGGGGGAGGTAGCAGACAAGGTGAGTAATCCCAGCAGGGGACGGGCTGTTTACTGTTTACCAAACCACCACCAGATCCATTTTATTATTGGTCAAATACGGCTCCAGCGATGAGTCCTTTGATCACGCCTGTGTTCCTCTTACATCCAATGGTCAGTGACATACAAAGCAGATGATTTCTGTGAACACTCGTCCGTCCCGCTCGAATACGTGATATTTCAGGAGCTGAATGTCCTATCTTCACATTTTTCGCCGAAATGCCTCGTGGATTCGAGGATGGACTGATTAGAATTTGGGGCTTAACCTCTGTCCTTCCCGTTCCAAGAAGAAGAAACCTCAGACATGTCTGGAGGGAATTTAATTACATCTGGTTTATGTTTTATGCATCTTAGAGAAAAAAACAATAGGAGAAAAAAAACCAAGACCCCTGAAAGCATCATTGATAATCCTCCTCCTTTAATCGCAGCGCTGCAGTCATGGTTTTTTAAATAGTGAAGCTGTAGACTAAAACGTCTTCAGATGTGAGAGCGCGTCAGACTGTTTTTAAATCTAGTTTAAGATCAAGTCTTGGGGCGCCGTTGGAGTAGTGGTTAGTGTGCACACCTATGTACGGAGGCTTTAGTCCTCCAAGCGGGCGGCCTGGGTTCGAATCCGGCCTGTGGCTCCTTTCCAGCATGTCATCCCCCCCTCTCTCTCTCTCTCTCTCTCTCTCTCTCTCTCTTTCGCTCTCCTGTCCTTTGTCTACAATAAAGACGTAAAAATCCCCCAAAAATCTTTCAAAGATTAAAACCTAAAATGAACACGATGATGATTCTTCAGGCTGTGACTGAGACTAAACACGATTGTTGTCCAACTTAACGCTCAGACTCCAGATACAGTCTGACAAATCTGGTAACATTGATTGTGTGTGTATTTACACCAGAAGAAAAATGAGGGGATTAAGAGGGGTACCCCCGACAATCTTAATCTTAAAATATTAAAATGCATTTAGCATGTTAGTAACTCCCTCTCTTCTGTCTGTCAGGAGCCGAAGCAGGCGGCCGCTTTCTCCGCTCTGCAGGACTCTGACTGTTTCGCTCACCTGCTGCGTTTCTATGACGGCATCTGTAAGTGGGAGGAGGGAAGCCCCACGCCTGTCCTTCATGTGGGCTGGGCCACCTACCTGGTCCAGTCCTGAGCCGCTTTGATGCTCAGGTGAGGCACCAGGAATAGACCTTTAGAGAGTGTGAGTGTGTGTGTGTTAACCCTTTGAAGCTAAAAGCTTTGTGTGTGTGTGTGTTGTGATCCTCAGGTGCGTCAGAAGGTGTCCATCATCACCAAAGAGCTCGAGTCTCAGGACGAAGATGACCAGTCCAGTGATGACCCCCGAGAAGGTCGCAGACGACCCGAGGAGGGAGTCCAGCTGGAGGAGCAGAGTTCTCCTCATTCTTCTGCTCCTCCCACCTCGCCCTCGTCCCAGCCTCCTCCAGCAGCAGCTCAGCCCAAGAAGGTGGAGAGGGAGGGAGCCGTCGCCGCTCCTCTCAGGGCCCGCGTGGAGGCGACACTGAAGGAAAACCCAAATCCCAAGCCCGGACTCCTCTCCCTCCTCCCAGCATCAGCAGGAGGCGCCCCCCTCACCTACCTCCTCCCCGGCCGGGCCCGTGGTGGTTTCCAGAGCGAGAAGATGAAGGGGATGAAGGAGCTGCTTGTGTGCCGCCAAGGTGAACTCCAGCGCCATCAAGCTGCAGCTCACGGCGCAGTCGCAGGTCCAGATGAAGAGACAGAAGAGCACGCCGAGCGGAGATTACTCCATGTCCTTCATGAAGAGGCAGCGCAAGTCTCTGTAGACACGAGGAGGAGGAGGGGACTCATACTGTGAACATCTCGCTTTCATTCGTCAAACTCTTTTAGCCGTGTTTTCATCAGTTCAGTCTCAGCAATATTTTTCAGTTGCACTCTTCACATATCAGGTTTGAAGGCGGCAAAGAAAACCACGCTGCATCAGCAACTCAAAATGTTTTCATCAGGAGCAAACGGGATGCAACTGCAGGACGAAGCAATTTTATAACAAATAAACAAATAGGAGGGAAACATGCTGCATGAAGTCAAAGCAAAGGCTTTAAAATCAAACCTGCTTAAACGACACATCCGATCATGACGGTCAAAGTGCTTGTGGCCTGTAGGGGGTGCTGCAGGGTGTAGCTGCTGTTTAGCTTAATAAGCCGGGCAGACGGTGGTATTTTCAGTTCTACTCTGCTTAAGAGAGCTCTGAGGATCGGCGAGTGTTGGTGTTGTCTCTTTAACCAAACGACAAAGTTAACTGAGAGTTAATCAGGACTCTGGTGGAAGGGTTGAGGAGGAGTGAGAAACATTTTGAGCGATATTAAGCGTGCACTTAGTCAGACCTAGAAGGGGGGGTTTCTGCAGTTTACAATGAGCCAAAAAAAAAAAACAACGGCACTGCTGCATTCCCCGTCTTCAGTCTGACTTACAGTCCCCAAACATCAAGTCCTCCTGGCAACACGAATCTCCTCTGTAGATTATTGTGTCCATTAAAGCGCCCCCTACAGGCCTGGAGCACTTCGTATGCATTGACTGGATGTGCAGCATGTTTCTGTGGCTTTCTAATCTGCAGTGCTTGCTTTTGCGGCACATTTGCTGACGATGCATCACTTTCTCCTGATGAAAATCCTCTGGGCCGTTGCTGCGGGTTCGCCCTTGTCGTCCGCCGTAACTTAAAACTGAAGGAGGGAACATTTCATTGTGTTTTAATTCAACTTCAGCTGGAAACAAACAGACTTTTCCTGGTTTGACAGATTGTAAACACTCATTAGTTTGTGTATTAATTGGCAGCCAATTGCACACTGACTATTAACTTCTGATTGACTCACATGTGGATGTTTTGAAGCCAAAGTTTCTCCAGAATCCAGCGTACAGAGGAGTGAAAACGACCATTAGGACAGTGTTGATGACTGAAGCCTGGAAGTGATTAATTTAGGATAGTTACTGTGTAACATTGTCCACCTGTGCTCGATCCACAGCTTCTTATTGCCAGCTCTTTGTTGCCTTACGTTGCCTTTGTTCTATCTACAGTAGGTGGCCTTTAGTGTCGGTTAGCTGCGTTAGGCCTCATTTCTGATGAGTAGAGAGGAGCAGGAGACCATGCACTGTTGAGACGGCGCCTCAGTAGGAGGCCCGATACATCGATTTACCTTTTAGTTGTTGTTTTTGTATCTGCAAGTAATAAAGGTCTGATGGAAACACTGTGTGAAGGTGTGTGTGTGTTCACAGGGGACCCAGCTGTGAGAGGATGTACACTGTAAAAAGTGTCTTAAACCTGCAGTCCTTTTCATGTCCAGCAGGGGACAAAACAGGAGTGGAAGAAAGAGACTTCTATGATGAAACCGTCCTACTTCTCTGGATTTATTCCCTCAGTAAACATTTTTTCAGTGACTCTATAGTCTCAAGCTTGAGTTTCAAGTCTTCTTCAGACCCAGCGTGACGTTCATGTAGTAAATTATGATCCCATTAAGAGTCAAGGATACCAAAAAGCAGCATGGTATACTATTTATGATTTTAAATTGGGATTATTATTCAAAATGGACGAGAAATTAGAGAAAAAAAGAACAAATGCAAATCTTATATACCTGAAATTGTGTAACAGTATGATTCAATATCGATTAAATAATACGCAGAAAATCCATGACTGTACCTTCTGGTATTTGTTAAACATCCAACCAGTAAGATGTTGTAGTGAGTGAAATGGTAAAGGTATCTTACTATATGATCTGACATTAAGGAAACATGTTGAAGTGCTGGCTTCTCTGACAACAGTGCAGCAGTCAGTATGTCCTCCTTCTAACTTTAGATTCTGGTCCTGAATGATCTGGATTTGTTTGGACCAGAGAAGGTAGGCGGTTTTAAGACACCCCCACACGGCCGTTTTGGACACCCCACAGTTTGCCAGATATGAGAGCAGTTATCAGGTCAACAGGTGTTGCAGTGATGGAAGCGGGCAAGAGAAGTGGTTCAGATAGAAGTGATTGTACCCGACCTAAAAAGCCTCTGCATGTTTCTAATAAGCTCCACGAGCAGAAACATGCTCAAACTAGGATCAATATTAGAGATGATTTTGAAAAATGGAGAGAGGTTAGAACACAGAAAGGTTTACAGACCGATGCAGAGCTGGATAAACACTGAAGCTTCAGTGTCCACCACATGGTGACCTGTGAGAGCATGGACTCTACAGAGGAGGGGGTGGGGGAGACAGCTCTACAATGTTTAGAGTGTGGACTGCAGTACCCATTTTAAACACAAGGTGTCATATATTGCTCCTTTAATTCTTGAGTTTTTTCTTGCGCATAATGTAATTTTTTTTTAATCATTATTAATTTCTCATGTGTGGCCCTATAACCCTCTTCCATATGATATGTTGTACGAAGACGTTGACATATTTTTTTGCAGTATTTGAAATATTTTTCCGCTTTTCAAAATGTATTTGTGTGTCATTTAGGCTAATATGTTTGCATGAATGAAATGTTTTGTTGCAAGCATGAAATATTTGTGCAGTTGACCTTCAGGGCCACCGTAGATTTCCCTCTTACTCTTGCATGTTGTGTTTCAAAGATGGACAGGATCAGAGGAGGTGAGTTCGACTTGTGTTTGCATTTTTTTACAGTGTGCAGTGTCTCTGCTCATGCGTGAACTGGCTCCAGCTCCACTCGGGACTGTCTACACACACACACACACACACACACACACACACGCGCGCATACTTTCACAGTGTCAGTCTGCAGTCACTGAACTCTCGCTCTCTCTCTCTCTCTCTCTCTCTGCTTCTCTGCAGGGTCGACCCCTCCAGTTTTTAGTCAGATCCAGTTCGGTCCCGTTAACGGTCAGAGTGTTTATCTTCTCCTGCGGTAAAACGTGCAGCAGCAGCGGTGTGTGTGTGATGTGTGAGTAGTTGTCAGGCAGCAGCACCCTGAGGTGTCTCCATCATGGACCGGATAGGTGTCTCCTTTCTGGACCCCCTGGATGATTACGAGTTAATCCACAGGATCGGGTGCGGCACATACGGAGATGTGTTCAAGGTGAGCGCGAACGTTTGGTTTACAGAGCGCGAGGACTCGTTAATTCAGGAACACACACACACACACACACACACACACGGGAGGGTTTTGACTTCCTGACACACAGGTGGAACTGAGTGTTTGTGTGTTTTTGTGTCTGTTTCCGTTTTTTAAGGTGAATGAAAGGTTAATTTCTTCCTCTCTTGTTGTGATCGGAGCTGCGTGGTTTTCTTTGTGCCAATAAATCTATTTAACCCTTTCAGTCCTTTAAGACTCTGAACACAGGTATAAACCATCGTGTTGTATCTGTTTGAGCCGCAGTCACATGATGTTTACATGCAGAAAAAAAGAATCTAACCTCTTGTTGCTTTTTTTTTTTTTTTTTGGTGCAGCGCTGTTATATTTCATAATGTGTCTAAATATCTGTCAGATCAGCAGTTTATAACCCAAAATAATCATCCTGATTTGTGAACAGAAATACATGAACGCTCACTGATTCCTTGACTAACTGACGAGTCAATTAAAGGAAAAATAGCAGTGAGTACTTTGAACACCGATTTATCATCTCACTCATTTCTTAAGATTAAATGTTTTCTGTGTTGAGCTTCTCTCATGAGAGAGAATGAGTGGAGACAATAGGTGGAGATATCAGGGGAGGGGAGGGGATTTTTTCCCACTGTGACATCACAAGGTGAGCACATTTGAAACAGAGCAGTTTTCTCTGTGTTGTAAGACTTATGCAGACCACAAACAAAGGACTGAATGGGTTTAGTAGACACTCAGGTTACACAAATATATGTTCAGAAACACTGTAGAAGTGGATTGTTCATAATGTATCCCCTTTAATGCTAAAAGTGTGTGTGTGTGTGTGTGTGTGTGTGTGTGTGTGTGTGTGTGTGTGTGTGTGTGTTGTGTGTGTGTGTGTGTGTGTGTGTGTGTGTGTGTGTGTGTGTGTGTGTGTGTGTGTGTGTGTGTGTGTGTGTGTGTGTGTGTGTGTGTGTGTGTCTGTCTCAGGATGCAAACATCCTGTGCTGCCAACCCGCCCGCTGCCTCATGCATCCTGCAGAAACACAGAAAGAATTTGTATTGTTTCTTTTTTTTTTTACTCCCCAGCAGCCTGACAGCTCAGACTGAACCTGTAAATTGATGAAGTAAATCAAAGTGTCACACAACATGACTGGAAGCTAAATGTAAACACTTACGCCTGCTGCAGAGATTTATACTCTAGATCTGTTTTTATAGCTGCACTCCTGAAGATATAATCACAGAGTCTCAACAGAGCAGCTTCAAGCGTTGACTGTGAAGTTTCTTGGTTTTTCTTTTTGAAAGTAGGAAACTCCTGGAGCTCGCTGCCTGTTCACGTCTTACTGCCAACTTCACCACTTTGATTAGTTTGGTTAGTTCAGCGTCAGACTCATGCTCTTATTGTTTGCAGCAACATCTCAGCTTAATGTGTCTCACTGAATGTTGTTTATTCAGTTTACTCTCTCTTTTTCTTTTTAACTGTTTTCATCTTTTATCTACTCTAAAGCTCTTATAGGGACGAGTGTCACAAATCAACATCCGCTATAAAAACTCTGAGACTTTCATCTGGCAGCTGTTTGTAGCTCAGTCTGTAGGGACTTGTAGGGTCGCCAGTTACAGGTGAAGTCTGAAAGAGGTGCCAGATCACTTTGCCGAGGTGTCCTTGAGCAAGGCGCTGAACCCCCCTAACTGTTCGGGTGCTCCTTCATGTGCAGCCCCCCGTGACGCCCCTGTGCCTGTCAGGTTGAGTCTTCTCTTCTCTTGTGATGCAGGTTCCAATCAGCCCGACGCTCACAGCCTGCTCACGGAGACTTCCTGCATGCTCCTTGTTTTTAACTTCATCTCCCTTTTCCATCCAACACCTGCACCATACACTCATCACACACACACACGTGGTGTAATTTCTGAAGTTATTTAGATTATAATGTACAGACGTCATTAGGTTTATTCACTGTTCTCTAATGTCAGTCAGACCTGACAGAGTTCAGTTGTTATTAGAACACCAAGTACAGCTTAGAGAGTGTCAACTGTTCTTCCTGATATCTGCTGGATGTTTGGTAGACTTGTTGTCTGCTCCAGTGTTAGAGACGTCACAGTTTAGTCTAGGTGGGTCAATGTGACACGACCCTGATGATGATAATGTCTTTTAGGATATATGCGATGCCTTTCGAAAAGTTCAGGAGATGTGATTGAGCAAGACACGAGAACAGAAGTGTGATGTTGATCCATGTCTCCTCGTGAGTATTCTTCTTAAGTATAAACTTTCATCAACGAAAGCCATCTGAGTCAACTGAGTCTTATTGTGTGGAGTCAAGTCTTAGTAAACTCTTCAACAACACACACTCATCACACACACTCATCACACACACACTCACTCTTACTGACATCCAAATCTGTGAAACCGCCGTTTCCCCTTTTAATGGAGGACTCTTCGTCTTCTTCTGCAGCTTTTTTTAAAGACATATGTCACTTCCCCTGCCTAAGCTTAGAATATTTTAAAAAAGAGCTTCAAGTTGGCAAACAGGAAGTGATGGTTATCAGTTCGTGTTCAGTGCGCTTTGTTTCATGCACAACGTGAATGTGCCCTGCTGACAGAACGACACAGTGTGACGTGAAGGCTTCTGTTTGTGGAGTTCAGGCTGGAAAGGTCCGATAGAAATATTATTCATATCTGTTTCACACCCATCAAACTTTAGGATGTAATGTTCAGAGACAGTTTCCACATGTCTCTATGTGAAGCACACTGTGTCCTCTCTAAAGCTGCTTTCACATCTCCACTCCTCAAAATATCTAGATCATTTAAGAGGACTGCTCCGGATGTCCTCCTGATCTGGTTGTTCACACATGCACCTCACAACGTCACCCCCCCCCCCCTGAAAGTTTCAAAGATAAAAACACGTATTTACGGAGGAGAACCGCAATATTTGTGTCAGCATCAGACCGCCGCCAACAGCACGACAAACACAGACACTTTAGAGATTCACGTCCGCCTCGATTCAATCAGAGACATTCAGAGTATGTGTTAGGTGGGGGTTGTTTCTGTTTGTATAAATCCAATGAAGAAATCGTGAAACAGACTGGAGAATATAACACCGTTTAATCGGCCGAGGTCAGACAACTTCATCAAACAAGCATGCTTCCAAATCACTTGACTGACAAAGTGCTGACAAAGTAACAGTGTTCACAGTGCTGCTTATATTCTGTCAAAAAGGTGCAACCCACAAATTCCTTTCCATTTGGGTACATCACCATAAAACAATAAAGATGACATGACACTGATTTGTATACGTAACAACTGTAGACTCTCTGTCTAGCAAACAGTTGCTGACAATATATGGTTGGCTCCTATCCAAACATAGATCTGCTACTACTTAGGTGCTTCACTCATATAAGGTTACAGCTTCAGACACCTAAAGGTAGGAGTGTTAACAGGTGGTAGGCAGACTTGATTAATACATTTCACGAAGTTACAAGATTAATGAATTTCATGAAAATTCGTACTAACAGTATGTTTGTAAGAATTCCCTCCTGTGTGTCACCCTGATGGAGCTCAACCTGGTTTATACTTTTATAGTAGCTCTGTGTTTGGTCTCCTCCACCTCCTGAGGGAAATGTCCGACTCTTTAGCTGCTTAAAGCTCCATCATGTTCTCCAAGGAGCTTTACAGTCATGTTCAGGAGTCATCAGAAAAACCTTCAGAGCTCGAATCACTAAAGACAAAATATAGAAACAGTCTGACATGCTCTCAAAGGTTTGGTGTTTGGATCTGTCTTTGTGTTACTGTAACATGTGGAGATATTTCAGCCTGTGTGTGTGCGCGTGTGTGTGTGTGTGTGTGTGCATGTGTGTATGAGCAAACACTCACAGACAATCACACACATTATCTCCGCTGCTGCTTGTGGGTTTGAGTCCGGGCTGATCATGTGACCATGTGGGCTTTAAGGACTCTCCTCACACTGCCGTCATTCAGAGAGTCTCCTCCTCTTAGTCCAGACCTCTGACCTCCTGAGGATCGGAGCAGTCCCAGCCGGATCACACGGAGACAGATTCTGTCCTTACACCAAAAATGAAATGAATTCATTCTATCAATTCAATCAATCAATCAATTTTTATTTGTATAGTGTCAACTCATAACAAGTGTTATCTCGAGACACTTTACAAAAAGCAGTTAAAAAGACCTTACTCATTGTTATGTTACAAAGATCCGGCCTATCCATCATGAGCACTTTCGCAAAGCAGCAAAAGTTACAGTGGTAAGAAAAAACTGTCTTATTAAAAGGCAGAAATCTTCGGCCAGATCCCCGGCTCATGACGAAACAGCCTTCACAGGCCTAGACTGCGCCAGGCTTGGAAAGGGATAGGGGGAGAGATGGGATAAGATGCAGGAAGAGGGATAGGGAGCAAGGGGGTGGGGGGAGGCAAGCCGTCCATCAACAATCCGGTGGAGAGGGGGTTGTTCTGGCAGGCCGTCAACCAACGATCCCGAGGAGCCTAATAGAGCTCAAGAGCTCCCAGGAAAGTAGGTGGTTAGTGACTGAGATTTACAGATAGATACATGCAGTAATATGATGTACTGTATATGCACAGAGAGAGGCGCTCAAGGTGCCAGTTCCCCTGGTAGTCTAAGCCTATAGCAGCATAACTAAGAGCTGGTCTACACCAGCACCAGCCCTAACTATAAGATGTATCAAAAAGGAAAGTTTTAAGTCTATTCTTAAAAATACAGACAGTGTCTGCCTCCCGGACCCCGGCTGGAAGGCGGTTCCAGAGGAGAGGAGCCTGATAACTGAAGGCTTTACCTCCCATAGTACACTTAGAGACTGTAGGTACCACTAGTAGGCCTGTACTCTGGGACCGTAATGTTCTCGAGGGACAGTACGGCACTAGTAGTTCCTTAAGATAAGATGGTGCCTGGCCATTTAGAGCTTTGTAAGTGAGAAGAAGGATCTTGAATTCTATTCTAGACTGTATAGGGAGCCAGTGCAGAGAAGCCAACA